AAAGAAGAAAATCATTAAACTCTTTTGTAAGCTTTGAAATTCTATAGATATATCTGTTGTAGTCAGAGGTTATGAAGAGAACAATTAGAATCAGGACATGGAATTTATAATATTAATTTATGATGGTCACTGTTGCAGTCGGGTTTTGAGGAGAACAATTAGAATCAGGACATAGAATTTATAATATTATTTATGATGGTCACCCAGAGTTTAACACAAGAAAGAGCAGGAAATCTGTCCACAACACTAAAGACCCAGAATATTCAACCAAGGTCCTGGATCCCACAGCAATGTCCTGCACAAGTCCAGATGAAAACCTAGAGCCCATGACAGTCCCTCCCACGAGTCTAACTGGAAGTCTAGAGCCCATGAGAAGGACTCATGCCAGTCTATTTAACAGATCCAGGCTGGGAAGACACAAAAGTCAATGGTGGAAGCTAGAAAGTCTATGCCAGTGGGGTGAAGGAGCTGTGCTGGTAGGTTGAGGGTTCTACACTGGAGCTGAGAAGTCACATTCACAACAAGACCAGGGCTGCTCTGAAAAGCACCACAGCCATCCTCAGCAACACGGCGGCCCCAAGTTCCTCCGATGATAAGAAGAGTTGAGTTACATGCCAGAAAGCCAGGGTGACAAGTTTCTCTTGGAGATTAAACAGCACATGTCTTTACCTCTAAAGCCAGGAAGCAATGCTCAATGTAAGGACCAGAGCTCCCCCAAAGTGAACCACACCCACTCTCAGCAACAAGGTCTCAAGCTCCTCTGATGCCAATAGTCAAACTCACACTGGGGAAGGTAGTTAGCACGACAAGCTCCTCCAGGAGAACCAACAGCTCAAAATAGTGACACTTAGAGAAATCCACAACACCTTGCTCTTGTTCAAGTCTCTACGCTAGCAACTTTTCTCAGGTGGACCATCTATGCTCAGTACCATGCTGATTTAATTCAGCTGGCATTAAGTTAATCACCAGTTTTTTAATCCATAGCAATACCACACTGCAAGACTGGATATGAGCCAGTCTGCAGGGTTACAAAATTTGTATTTAACTTCTAATGTAGGTTGGCCTATTTCTTCCTCAAAGAAATGGGAGACTGCTGTTGGGCAGAGGCTGTAACTGCCATGTCCTTAGACCTCTTTATCTAAATCTTGTTTGTTCCCTAGCAAGTCATGAAGCTGGCACATTGCTGGTGCTCCTTAAATATCCGATGGCCAACTAACATTGAAGGTGGCACATTGCTGTCTTCACAGTGCCACAAAACTCCTCACCCAGCACCCTCTAACTTTCCTGAGCAAGTCAAATGGCTCTCCCTCGACCCTTATTCTTCATAACCTTGGTATTACTTTGAATGCCATAGAAGTAATCTGCTTTTTTTTCTTGGTCTTCTGTGCATGTCTTTTTTTTTTTTTAATCTTTTTATCAGTACTGAGGATTGAACTCATGACCACCTGCTTGCAAGGCAGGGGCTTATGCTGCTGAGCTAAATCCCCAGCCCCTTCTGTGCATGTCTTAAGGCACCTGATAATATCCCTTTCTGAAGAAGGGAACTTAACCCTGTATTACAGAGCCTGAACCTCCAGCCATGGCATTGTCTAGCAGGTAGTTTCCTGTTCCTGTGTGTGTGACCTAGAGAATATTTTCTTGAATTTTTTGGCTCTTAGCAACCTACACTACAGATATGTAAAAGTCTAGACTCATGGCTAGAAAACGGAGTCATATAGAAGAACTGGCCAAAGAATTCACAGCAACTTACAGATCAAACAATCCAAGCACCTAACTCAGTTTGGTCTCCCATTGCCAATGTCCAAGGATGCCAAGGACTTTTGTAGCAGCTCCCAGTCTCCATGGATCCCTGAATGAGTACTCATCCAGTCTTCCCAGAGTCTACCTTCTTCTATAAGCCTGGGATTTGAAGATGAGCTAGAAATCAAGTACCATAAATGGAAACTATCTATGATCCTTTCCTGCCTTGGGTGTAGGGGTGTAGGAGAAGGCAACTTCTCTACTTAGTGTGTAGCTTAAATTTTACACTTCTGTGTAATCAAAGAAAAGGACAAAGTGGTCTGGTGTTTTATTTTAGTGTTCTGTGGTGTCTACAGACACTAGTGCAAACCACTATGTGAAGAGAACTTCATTCTTCTGATCTTGTAGGAAACCAAGGCTTAGAGAAGATTATTACTTATCAAGCTTCCTGAAATTTGGATCCAAGGTCTCCATCCCTTTAAAAACTCTCTCACAGTGCATCTAAATATTCATCGAATAAGTACAGAGGAAAAAAGATTTTGGATCTATTGTTTATCATCTACCTATGTAATTGTTAAATCACAAATTGGACGAAGTTCCTCTGCTCAAGGAATTCATGCTTTAATAAGATAAATTAGATCCATTAAAATAGGCACAACACAAAGCAGAGTTTGTTGCCATGATAAATCAGAAGCCCTACAGCAACTGGGGACAAAACTGCTGCACAAGATGGCCTGAGGAACTACCTTTCAGCTCTCAGAGAGTTTCAGTGCAAAGACGTGGTGAAGTGCTCATAAAGCAAGCCAAAGTGCTTTGCAAACCCAATATTAACTTTTTGTATTCTTTGAATCGGATGTCTTCATCTTATTTGAGAAAAAAAGATGCGATAACTGAGACACCACAGCTTCATGCCACAGCACGTGGCTCTCTGACCTGGATTTATTTCCGGGCTCCTGGACAGGACAAAGCCTGAAAAGTGGCTCCAGGGTGGGAGTGGTGGTCAAGGCAAACCACGAGGGTTCCACGGGCCCAGTTAGGATTCAGGCAGCTGCCATTCCAGAGCAGAAGGGGCAGTAGAGGAAGAAGTCTGGAATCGTGTCCAGTGGGGCTCGGGAGCAGGGCTGCGAACCTCAGCCCAGGTGGGAAGCTGGTGAACTAGGGCAACTGTCCCCAGAAGGAAGGGGAGGAGACAGTAACCAGGGCTGGAAAACAAATAATATGGGGAATAGATGGGAAAGGAAGTTAAAGGACCTCAAATTTTAAATGAGGTGGTCAGAAAGTTGACATTGTCATTACCAGCAATGAGAATGGAATCCAGAAAGGGACAAAAGAGGAAGAGGGTTGTATATGGCTTTGAATATGTCAACTTGGAAGCATCCACAGGGAGTTGAGAGCCTGGCATCCAGCAGGAATTGGAAGCAAAGAAGATCTGACAGCTGGTTGTGACTGTGTAAGGAAATGGTGCATCATAGGTAGGAAGAATTGACGCCACAGGTATCAAGGGAAAGGAATCAATCATTCATCAATTAATTTGCACTGAGCCCTTCCTTTGTAGGCACTAGCGGTACAACAGTGTCAGAGACGTGTTGTAGGATTTCCCTCCTGGAGCATAGACCAAGGAGAAGAAAGTTGAAGGCAGAATTTTAGAGAACACTGACTGTCAGAAGATGAAAGGGGAGGGAAAGCAAGACAGGCAGGCAGCAGGTAGCTGGCTTAGATTCCAAAGAAGGAGAAAATTTCAGTGAAGAAAAAATACAAATATTGCAGAAGTCCTTTGTTTGTTATTCTTATCCCAAAAACATGTAAACATGTAATCATGGAGATGCAGCTAAGAACCAAAAAAGGAGACTGGTCCAGGGAACCCTCATTCCAGTAAAGGAGACAACGGTCAACACACTGAACAGGATAATCACACGCTGTCACAAGTGGCCTAAGTAAGCAAACAGGATGAAGCAATGAAGGGCCGCTGCAGAAAGTGGGAAGGCTGGCAGGTGAGGCTTTGCCAGGAAGAGACCATAAACTGAGATCTGAAGATTGTAAACCATTCCCACTGCTTGTGGTGCAAAGAAAGCTCCGGCAGAAACAGGAAGTGCAACCATGCAGAAGTCAGAGAGGGTGCTGTGGTTTTGGGTAAGGTTTATTCAGGTTTAATTCTTTAAGAAGTGAGTGTTGAAGAGGGTGGTGTTCGGGTCATGGAGGTGGGGCCCTGACGGATATAATGATATCTCCAGGAAATGAGTGAGTTCTCACCATCCTGGAACTGAATTAGTCACCCTCAGAGCAGTGTGTTATAAAGCATGGTTACCTCTTGTTTGTTGACTGTGTACTTGTGTTTGCTTGCCCACCTGCCTTTCCAACTGCACATGGTCCTCACCATGTGCAGCTGCCCAAACTTGAATGCTATGGCCTCTAGAACTGTGAGCTATACAGACCTTTTCACTTTACTGGTTAGCCAGTCTCTAGCATTCTGTTATAGCAAGGGAAAATGGACTAAGGTGGGGGAGGGCCACCAGAGGAAATGAAGAGAAACCAGTGTGGCTGAAGTCTACTGAGCAGAGAGAAGCCTGCTGTGATAAAAGGCTGGAAAGTAAATTTCCAGTGGATCAACAGAGCCGTGGCCTTGGTTGGTGACAGAGGACATAAAGAAAAGGCCAGACCTGAGCTTGAATCCATAGAATGTGCTGATAGATTAGTCAGGAGGCAAAGGGAAGTCAAAGATGGATCTGAGATTCTGTTTGAGTAATGAGGTGTGGAAGGTGGCGCCATTTATTTGCCTGTGAAAGTCTGGGAGTGGAAAACTGGAAGGAGAAACAGCTCCATTTGGGACACATAAAGCAGAAGGTCCTGAGATTATTACTCAGAATTCTAAATAATGGGTTTTTGGCAATAAGGAGGCCACTCATTTCCAGGCAGAGATTGTTCCATGGTCGTCCTGGGTCGCGTGGTTACTGGCCCCAGTGGAACACCTATGGTGCCTTGGAGCCCATTGTTATAGCTTGGGCTGGGGGTTCACTGCACACACACTGACTCTCAAGACTGTATCTCACCTGCCCAATCCCCATCCTGGCAGCTGGAGGGCAGGAGGGCTGGAGATGTTCTTCAGGCTCTGTCTCCAGAAAGGTGAGAGGGTATATCACCCACTGTGAATAACCAACCAAAGGAAAATCAGCCTGGTTTCCACCCCATGGCAATTTTTTTCTAGTGTTCCCTCTGCTAAGACATTAGAAAAAAAATCTTTGTTTTATTTTATTAGGGACAAATGTTACACTGAAAAATGTTAACAGTATGTAGACATTGTTTTGCCAAAATAAGATTACTTTGATGTACAGCCAGTTGGCTACCCGTAAATGATTCCTGCCCCAAGTCAGGAAGGCTGAATAATAAATTGGCTATTTGGTCTAAAGCATTCATTCATTTCTTTATTAAGCAAGCATATTGGGGTTGGAGGTATATCTCAGTGATAAAGTGTTTGCCTAGCCTTTCTGAGGCCCTGGACTCAGTCTCCAACACCACAAAAATATAAAAATAAAAATAAATTTTAAAAATCATTTTAAAAAATTATATCTTAAATACTAATATTTGCTAGGGGACATAGGCTATATAAAAATGTATGAGACAAATCCTTTTATCCTGTCGAGAGATTAGACATGAACACAAACAGTAATTCATAAGAGTATGAGCTAAGTACCATTTGAAACAAAGTCCTTTCTAGGAACCTGGCCAGGAGAACCGAAGGAGGAGATGTACTTTCACAGAGAGAAGAAAAATAGGAGATAAGAAGTTTCTCTGAAGCAGGAGGAAGAAGTTTAAGGTGATGTTGTAGAATAGCCAAAATATCAGTGGTGCTAAAATCTAAATTTGTATTGCAAAGTAGAATACCAGGGTGGAAAGGTAGGCTGATGCCAGGCTTGGGAGACAGAGTTAAGGGTCCTATCTCAACTCTTGAGCAGAAGATGGGTGGGAGGTAAGGGGAGCCTTAGAGACAGAGCAACACAGAGGAGTTGTTGTGTTTATGTCTAGATGTCCCCCCAAAGCTTCATGGGCTCATAGGTGACTGGATTAGCCCACTGATAGGTCTATAGCTGGGTATGATGTTGAGAAGTGAAGCCTGGTGGGAAGAGGTGGTCACCATGTGGCCTGCAAGTCTATACCTCCCTCCTCCTCCCTTGATCCAACTCTGCTTCCAGCCTACCCTGCCATGAACTGTTTGTTTCTCCTCTGCCAGGCCCTCGGCCGTGCTGCCCAGCCTTGGAACCTACTGAACTGAACTGAAACTTATACAAACTATGAGTCAAAATGAACCTTTCCTCCTTTAAATTGTGAGTGTTAGGCATTGGGTCTCAGTGATGAGAAAGCAGCTAAGTCAGGAGTCTAGAGACCACCGTACTCTTCTCGCCTGAGCAATGGGGCTGAGCTTGTAGCTGGCAGCCCCGGGGAAGGACGGGGGGATGGAAGAAAGGGTTTGAAAAAATGTTCAGCCAGCCTAGGTTTGGGAAGCAGGGAGGAAGGGAAGAGAAAGTATTGACTGAGGCTTAGGCTCTGCTGAGAGGAAGAGGGCAATTTTGCTGCAGAAACAGGAAGGTCAAGAGTTCTGAGGAAGACATGGTCAGTTGGTTTGAGGCAGAGCTCGTGAGTCTGAAGCCCTGGGAAGGTCTGAAGTGACTTTTAGCAGTGGGTGAACCTGTGGGATTCGAATCAGAGAAGCTGTAGAAACTGGACACCCACCAAGCTGACACTGAAGGTGTGGGAGCGGGTGGGATTCTGGGCCCAGGTGTGAAAAGCCACAGGAAGAGTGACAAGGGTCTAAGGAGACATCAGAGAGGGAAAGAGAAAACCAGACCCTGATCAAGCACATCTTCCATGCCTATAAACCTAACTTCAGAGGAACAATTACTTCTTGGCTAAAAGGATATCCACAGGGCAGAGCCTTGGGGGAGTGGGGACAGGTCATGCTTCCAGGGAGGCTGGGGAGGCAAGGTCAGGGCAACCCATCTCCCAGAGGCTGGAGCCTGGACACCCTTCTCCAGCTAGCATGCAGGTCTGCCCTGCTCTGGGGCTTCCTTCCCATCCCCACAGGGGCTGTTCCTCTGCTCCATGCATTGGACATTGAGAAAGGGAGCCCCAAAAACTTGCCATTCAAAAAGGAGGTTCAGGCAGGGGCAGACCAGGGGGATGGAGTTAAGAAAAAGAGTATTTGTTTTAGTGATAGTGGATTTAGAAAAATCTCTCTCTCTCTCTCTCTCTCTCTCTCTCTCTCTCTCTGTTTTACTGTTTTGACAGTGTACAGAGCATCTGCAAATGTTTAATTGCATTTAGTAAAAAAATGTCAATCTTTTGTAGTTCCTGCATGGTGTGGTTCAAAGTCTCCCTCGCTATACTGAAAAACAATCACCCGCGTGTTTACAGCTTCACGTCTGTACATATGTATGTGTATGAATTGGACGTGTAACATTTTGCTCCATGTGGATTTTATTTCTGTCCACATGAATGATCAGTTCTCCCAACACAACATTTCTCTAACTTTGTTCTAAGGAGTTATTTTCCGGGAGTGCAGGCTGGAGCTATGAAGAGGATCCTAAGATTGAGTGATCAGGACCTGCACACTACAATGTGCCTCTTAGGAACTGATAGCAACCACTTGTGGTCTGACAAGAAAGAAGAAATTTCAATTAATTTTAACTCAGGGCTTTATAAATGTATTTGGACATGGAACACACTTTTTGCAACTCAACTGATAACTCAAGTATGTCTTGTATGCCTGCTTTTCTTTCTTCTTTTTCTTTCAAATGTGTAGTTGGTGGTGCCAGGAATTGGTTCCAACCTTTGCACTGAACTACTTCCCCAGCCTTTATTTTGTTATATTATTTTATGACAGAGTCTGGCTAAGTCATTAAGTTACCTAGGCTATTCTTGAACTTACAATCCTCCTGCTTCAGCTTCCCAGAGCACTGAGATTATAAACAGGTGCCAGCGATGTCTGCTACTTTTAAACACAGAATCGATGGAATTAAAGGTTAAGAGACAGTCTTTACCCTCAAAAGCTTACAGCCAAAAAAGAATTATGATCCAGTAAGGATCATTTTAGAGGCAGAGCTGACCGCGTTGATCTTATTCAAATGACTCCATCTGCACAATCTCGTTGAGCCCTAACAGCCTCCTGAAAGCCCCCTGGCATATTCCATACTTCAACACAGGGACATGGGCAGTGAAGGACACACGGGGCCCATCACCAGAGAGATGCCCAGAGGGACACAGCCCCAGATGTGGCTGCATTTCGGGAGGCACAGGAGGAGTCAGGGAAGGAAAAAAAAGATGATGGCGTCAGAGAGGAAGGAGGAGAGTCTTAAAAAGATTTAGAAGTACTTAGCATAGGTTTGTTTTCCAGGATCATTCTGAGACCTTTTATTAAACATTAATTGGCAATTTCCTGGATGAAGAGCTTGGGACAGAGGGTCAAGTGATTGGGTCATCATGAATCAGCAGCTTACACATCAGCCCACCACACATGAAATGCAACTGGCAGCTCAGAGCTGGGAAAGGAAAGGAAGTGGAACTTTTCCAAATGAAACACAAGGACTCTACCATTTTTAAATGCAAAGAAACTGAAATACATGGCGGTAATTTCAAAACTGTTGCGACTTAGAGACAAAATTGGCCTTTCTGCTTTGGGAAAAAAATAGGCTAAGTGGCAGAAAGAATGGGTAGTGGTGGAAATTCATGAACAGGGCTCTGTGAGGGTCATGGGTGAGTCTCTAACTCACCTATTTTGTCTGTAGAATCAGCTGCTTAAACTATTTTCTTTTCTTTTTTTCTTTTTTTTTTTTTTTTGATCTTTTTCTTTTTTATCGGTACCAGGGATCGAACTCACAACCACACACTTGCAAGGCATGCGCTCATGCCACTGAGCTAAACCCCCAGCCCCTGCTTAAACTATTTCAAATGTCTTCATCTTATCACATTTCCACTTGGTATCTCTTCTTTGCCTATAACAAAATCCACCTCCCTGGCCCAGCTAGCACCACCTTTGGAAGTTTTCTGGAGGTTGTGGGAAATCATAACAAAGTCTGGAGATGCCATGGGTACTGACAGAGCTTGGGTGTGGATGACACCTCAACTCAGCTACCATGTCCAATGGCCACCCTCAGCCTCTCTTGCCCAGACATTAGATCATTAGTGCCTCTGAGATGGATCACCAGGCATCACCCACTTAATTTTTGAAATAGATTCTCAACATTGATTGAGGGATAGCTATGTGATTGTTAATGGTCACTGTTTACTATGTTCTAATCACTGCATATGCTAAGTACTGTATATGCATTCACTGATTTGATCATTTTTTACCCCTCTCCAAAGACGAGAAATGTAAGGTACAAAGCGGTTAATAATTTGTCAGCCCAGTGATGAATGAGGAAGCCAAGATTCAATCCAAGCTGCCAAACCCCGGATGTGGGCCATAAGAAGCCTGGGTGGACGAGCTGGACTCCTCATGAATTACATACAAATCAAAGGGTGTTGCTCAGGGTCCAGTGCATACCTAGCATGCACCAAAGCCCTGAGTTCAATCTCCAGCACCTCTACCCCATAAAAAAAGAGCCAGGAGGATCACAAGTTAAAGGCCAATCTGCCTAACAACATCTTAGCAAGACCCTGGCTCAAAATAAAAGGGCTAGGAATGCAGCTCAGCATGGAGCCCCTGAGTTCAGTATTCAGCACCAGAAAAGCAGAGCAAGAGGAAGAAGGAGAAGGAGGAGGAGGAAGAGGAGGAGAAGAAAATGGTTTGGCAGCATTAAGAAAGAGAATTGAGTGTAAAATAAAATGGAAAGATGCAGAAAAGTAGGTAAGAAGCTGCAAACAAAGACGATTTCCATCCGCCAATCTCTTCCTCCCTAACATGCTGTTCCTGCTTCCCGCTAATCCCATCCCATTTCCCCTCTGTACACCCTGTCTAGCCCAGGAAAGCCTCCTTGAGTGTCCACTACATTCACTTTCTCACCCCTCCACCACTCTTATATTGAAATATGTAGCCTCACCCTGCAGTTTCATGCGTTTCCTGCTCATTCTTACAAATCAGTGACCAGTGCTTGAAGTGACTGATCATGCCTTAGGTACGGGCTTGTGGGTCCCACTTCCTATCCACCACCATGCCTTCAGAAAGCTGGCCACATGACAGGCATTCATTATTTGTTGACTCAAATCCCATTACTGTGGAGAACCTTCTAAGTGACCTTTGCATGAGTAACTTCTTAATCTTTAACTTTCTATTTGTACGCCGCTTGCTGTGGAGGTCCATTGTTTGAAATCAATTCCAGGATTTCTGTTTACAGAATATGGTTTGAGTTATTTCATGCAGACAAGAAAATAAAAGAGAAAAAAAAGATCATTGGCTTCCAGAAAATATTTTTATAACACTATTATTATTGGCATCTCATGCTGACATGGAACTACTTTCTTTTGGCTAAACTTTGAACAAATTCACATTCTCCAAGTTCCTCTTGGAGTCAATTTTATTCTCATGCAAATTTCCTAAGATTGCCAGCTAAATCTCTCAATACGAGTAAAAAATGGCCATGTGTTAGGCTGATCCAGTTAAACGCCCAAAGTCTGTGCTCACTTTACTGCTTAAAATGTTCTGTAAGCAGCAAGTCTGGGGTTCCCAAATGTTCACCATATGCACACGCCCAAGCAAATAAAACAATTCTCAATTGTAATTGGACCATAAAATGGCTTCCTTTCTGTCTTACTATTTGCATTTGCAACATGAGCAGTAGCAGACAAATTATCATTTCTCATAAGGCAGTATGGGAATTTTCAGGCAAGTCACAGAGACCCCAGAATGCTGTTCATGCCAATCTTGTTACAGCTTCCCAAGACCTCTGAAACACCTACCATGAAGTTTCTTTTCTTACTGATGACAAATTCTTATAATCTTTTAAAGTCATTCAGCCGCCTTATGTGAGTTTAAATTTTCTGCCTTCCAACTAGATTTCAAACTGTAATTAAAAAACTAGTTTTACATTTCTTTGTATCTTCTACCACATTTAATCCTAATGATGGAAAGCAGTAATACAATAAATTTAACTGGCTCATACTCAAATCAACAAAAGTGTAAGTGACTTTTTTCCATTAAAGATTACACTTGGAGTGGTGAGTGGCAACAAAATTCAACATCTGAGATCCAGAATCCAGATACTGAAAATAACATGAGAAAGAAAAAAAAAAAGTAAATCACTAGGAATGTGGAAGGAACTGACAGGAAAAGTGAAAACTACAAAGAGGTTGAAGAGACAGTCCACAGTGCGGATATAGGAACCAAACAGTCTGGACTCTCACCCCAGCTCTTGGATCACAGCTCGTGGAGTGGGCATCCTGACTCTTCAGAAGCAAGGTGAATGCTGGGGCTTGAGACTGAAGTGCTGGCAGGGGACTGGGCCATCAGTGAGGGCTTCAAGGGGAGCCCACTGCTCTTGTGATCTGTAGGGATAGTGCTGGATTTTGCTCCAAGCAGACTTCTTCCACAAGGCAGGCAATGACTGGAGAGAGGCACCCACCACATTGCTGAGTTGTTAGTTGGGCATCGTTCCATGAAGGGGCTGGTTGTTTGACTCTTGGACTCAGAATAGCTGGGAATGGGTCACTTCAGGGATACCCATGTTACCTTCCCACAGGGACCGGGTGATGAGAACCACAAACAGGGAGTGGGCTAGAATTTGTGGAGGGGTTTGAGCTCCAGCTGAAAACTGAGGCTAGATTTGAACTGTGCTCCATCTGAAAAAACAAACATATCACCAAATTATTTGAAAAGATAATGAAAGAGATTGAAAAGCAGATCAATGAGGTTCTTAGCTGGATTACAGAAGATACAGCAGATAATGGAAGTAATAAACTAGATGATTAAGGAATTTACAGAAGACATTGAGCAAACAATAAGACAAAGCATATAAACAAAATACAGACATGTAAGAAGACAAGGCAACAAAATGCCTCCAAAACTCCCAGCTCCCCAAAGCTGATCTGGGGGCATCAAGGGAAAAGAAAGCAAAAGCCATATAACTGATTTATTGGAAATGATAATCTTGGAGTGAAGTGTTTCAAACTCTAAAAGACAAAAACTTCCAATCCAGACTTACATATCTTACAAATCTTTCTTTAAAATTGGTGGAGTGTGCAGCCCTTCCAGGGGGAGAACCACCAGTGTCTCCTGAGAGCCACGCTATGTTGGAACTTAGGATGCTGGGAAACCAAGCAACCAGCCTGCTCCCTGCTAAGCAATAGTGAATCTACTGGTGCACAGCCTAGAGTCAAATATCCCACTTTCCCTGCCCCCCCCCGCACCGCCCATTAGCAAATGGGAACCAGAAATCTGAGCGTCTCCTGGGAGGTTGACCATAGCAAATAAGGGCGATTTTTTTCTACCATCTCTTTGAAGGCAAATATTTTTATTACTGTTGTGCTTTATTCTGATTAATGGTACTGCTCTATTCAATATTCTGCTTTGATAAGTTCTATAATGTTCTGTATTTCATTTTATTTTGATATACATGATTGAAAGAACAACTATTGTAAAGATAATGAAATATATGGTGATACCTATTACTGTTATCCTGGTAACCTGCTGTGAAGTTCTGTACCAATTTCACTACATGGTCTCAGTTGGCTTTATTCTGTCTTGTTCTGCTGTATTTTACTACTTTCAAAATAAAAAAAAAGAAAAAATATATATATAAAAATTGGTGGGGCTGGGGATTTAGCTCAGCGGCATAAGCACCTGTCTTGCAAGCAGGCGGTCGTGAGTTCGATCTCCAGTGCTGATAAAAAAAAAAAAACTTGGTGGAGAAATAAGCTATTACTGTAGCAAGAGCACCTTAAGAAATTCATAATCAGCAAAACCAGCACTTGAAAAATTTGTCAAGGTTATCCAAGAAAGAGACAACAAAGTCAACAATACCAAAAAGCCTAACAGAATTAATATACCAGTCAAGGTGAGCACATAAGCAGAAAGGAGATGGGAAAAAGGAACCAGCAACAAGAAAATAGTGCAATGGTAGGGATAAGTCAATACCTTTCAGTAATAATTCTCAGTGTGAATAGTCTGGATTCTCTAATCAAAATACACAGGTGGACAGAACAGATCAAGAAAAAAACCTCATGATATGCAGTATGCAAAACATGTTTAATTCAAAAAGAAATTCACATATTAAAAATAAAAGAATGGAAAATAATATTCATGCAACAGAAATATGAGAAACACACACACACAAAAAAAAGTTATCTTAATTTTAGACAAAGTGGATGTCAAGCCAAAACTTATCAGAAGAAACAAAGGAAGATCACTACATATTGGTTAAGGGAATAATTTAATAGGAAGGGATAATAATTATAATATAATATGCTTATAATAATTATAAGCATATTGGCACCAAATATCAAAGCACCTGAAGACACAGGCATAGGCAAGGACTTTCCATACAGAATCCCAATTGCACAAGAAATAATACCAAGAATGAACAAATGGGATAATATCAAATTAAGCTTCTTCACAGCAAATGAAATAACAGAGCTAAGAGACAACTTACAGAATTGGAAAAATACTAGTCCTCTTCTTCAAAGGATTAGTATTTTAAAATATATATTCAAAAATGAGAACTTCCTCAAACAAAAGACCCAATCAAAAATAGGCAACTCAAATATAGAGAGAATTCTCAGAAAAAGTACAAATAGCCAATAAATACATGAAAAAACTGTTCAGCATCACAAACCATCCAAGAAATGCAAACTAAAACAAAACTGAAACACCTAACTCCAGAAAGAATACTCAGCAACAAGAAACAAAATGATAAGTGCTGGAGAGTCTGTGGGAAAAAAAGAACCCTTCTACATTGTTGATAGAAATGTAAATGAAGATTACTGAAAGCCTAAAACTAGAAACTCCATTTGAACTAGCTATTTTCATTCCTGGCATATTCTTGAGTTAAAGACTACACACAGTGAATTAATTAACGATCAACTTGGAACACCCAGCTGAACTGAGTCAGCATGGTGCTGGGTGTGGAAGGCCCACCAGAGAATTGTTGCCAACAACATAACAGGAGAACTGGAGGAGAAGATGGCATGCTGCTGATTCTCCTGGAGAAGCTTGTCACACTGGTTTTCCTGATATGAATTCAGCTGTTCACATCGTCATAGGGGGTTGGCTGCTTGCTGTTACTGATGATGGCTACAGATCTCTTCAGGAGAGCTCTGGTCCTTACCTTAAGCATTGCTTCCTAGCTCCACTGCAGATCCCTCAGCCTGCTGGCACAGATCTTTCATTCCACTGACATGGATGTTCTAGCTTCCACCACTGGTCTTTGGGCCTTCCCCGTGTAGATCCTTGATACCAACTTGCATGGGACATTGTTGTGGGCTCTAAACCTCCAGCCAGACTCATGGAGGACATTTCTTTTTTCCCACAGACTCTCCAGCATATTTCCCTGAAGGGGTGGGGGAGAGAGACATGGTATGTTAGTCAGCTTTCTGACACTATAAGAAAATATCAGTGATAATAAATTTATAAAGAAAAAAGGTTGAATTCAGCTAGCAGTTTTGGTGGTTCAGTCCCATAGTTGGATAGCTCTGTTTGCTTTGGGCCTGAAAACAAGGTGTCTTAACAGTGTCTTTACAGCTTTACAGTGGGAACACATGTTAGAGGAACAGCATTTATCTCTTGAGTCAGGGAGCAACATCATGGACAGGTAAGGGTCCAACAGGTCCCTTCCATTACCTAAAGAAGTCCCTCTAGGCCCCACTTTTAAAGGTCACCCCACATTCCAATAGCTCCATGCTGAGTATTATGCCTTTAATACATGAGCCTTCGTAGGACAATCACCCTCCACACTATAGCAAAGGGAACGTGTAGTCCCCTCCTTTGGGGAACTATGAATACAGCTCCCAGATCAGGGTACACTACATGGCTCTGCTACCAGAGCTCAGGGTGAATTTCCACCTGGGCTTTCTCCCTTCCTCCCTCTTTCTGTTACTATTTTCTCAGTCATCAAGGCTTGATATCTCCCAGCAGCTTCAATTTCAAAGTGTTTCTTGACCCTCTGTGTTAGAATTGGGTTCCCCTCCTCCTTTCCCTGAGGTCCCACCACCTCCCTGGGCACCTCCAGGGAGAGAGACCCCCACCACCTCCCCTCCTAACCCTGCCCACCCACCATAAGGCTAGAGCAGTCCCCTAGCCTTTCCCTCTCACCTGTCTGTCCAGAACACCTAGCACAACTTTCTCATGTACTTGGACTCTTAAAAATCAAGAGTCAGGGCTGGGGTTACAGTGTCTGGCAAGCGAAAGGTGGTGAGTTTGATTCCCAGTACTAAAAAAATAAAAATCAAGAGTTAAACAGGGAAGTGTTTTTCTGGAAACTTCTGCTTTCTGCTCCCTGTGAGGCAAGGCCAGAATTTGGCCACCTGCAAAGATGAGGGAAGGTAAAGAAAACAGCACAGGAAGAAACTGTCTCAGAAAATGTCCTAGCCATTTACTTCTGTCTTTGACCTCTTCACCCCTGCCGTGAATAACAATGTGCCCCACCCTGTCCACCAAAGGTGTCCACATTCTAATCCCCGAAACCTGGAAATGAATATATTCCCCACACAGGGTAAATGGGGCCTTGTAGGTGTGGTTAAGCTATAGATCTAGAGATGGGGAGATGATTCTGGATTATTTGGGTGGGCCCAGAATAATCATAAAAGTGGAAGGTGGGGGTTAGAGTCGGAGAGGAAACATAAACATGGAGACCAAGGCCACAGAAGAGATGTTGCTTTGCTGGCTTCAAAGATGGAGTCCAAGGCCACGGATTGCAGGCAGCTTCTGGAATCTAGAAAAACTGAGGAAATGGATTCTTCCCTCAGGCCTCCAAGAGGAACACAGCATCTTGGGTTTGGCTCAGTGAGACTGGCCATAGACTTCTAGAACTGTTAAAATACTTCTGTGTTGTTTTCAGTCAAAAGTCTGTGGTCATTTCTTCCACCCTTAATAGGAAATAATAAACTCTCTGAGGTCAGGGACCATAGGAAGTACCTCACATAGAAAACCAAAAAAAATACACATAGACATGAATTCCCTACACCTCATGAATAGAACTAGAAAGGCAAATAGCACACTGGACCTAAAAGAAGTGAAATACGGTTTAAGCTGAAAGGATTTTGATAAGATCATGTTTTGGTTTAAAAGCACATCTTCCAGGTTTCTTCTTCTTCCCTACTGCCAGGGAGTGTTGGAATTTCTTTGCACACTGCGCTCAAGGAATGGATGATTCAGCTTGGAAAAAGGAAGACTTTTCAGCATTTGGGGAGCACCTGGGGAGACGCTTGTTTAGGTATAATATCCACGCTCTCATAGATAAAAATAGTCTTTAAATTTTTCCAAAAGTAAATCATTTTTAAGTATCAAAAGCCTCGGGCTACACCTGCCCTTTCCTACCTGTTTCTTTTGAGGAATCAAGCATTTTAGCAAAGATATGAACAGTGACTGATGTCAGTGCTGGTGAGCAGAGATCAAGTCATCTTTGTATAACTCAGAGGAAGGAAAAGCTGAGTGCAGAGGTCATGCTTGTAATCCCAGCCCACTTCTGAGGCTGAGGCAGGAAGATGACTAGTTTGAGGCCAACTTGGCAACTTAGCAGATAAAGGAAGAGAAAGAGAGACCGAGAGATAGAGAGAAACAGATACAGAGACAGAGAGAAAAACAGAGACAGACAGAGTCAGACTCAGAGACAGAAACAGGCATTAAACTAGAAGGGAGATTGTTAGAGAACAGGAAGGAAATCAGGAATAATGGAGAGAAAAGAGCCAAAGGGGTTACTGGGAGGGATAAATATCCACGGTGCGTAATGTGCACATAGGAAAATGCCAACATGAAGCCGCTACGCTGTATAACTAATATGCACTAGTAAAACAGATTGCTTGCTCCAGGGCCCCTCTTCAGTGAAATTAAATCCCCACACCACTGGCAGAACTGATGGTTCCAGAATGAAGTAGTTTCAGTCATGAAGATATATAAAGAATGACATCTCTTCCCATAAAAAATCAGTAGACTGATAAAATTTATATGAACAAATAACTTTAAACAGAGCTGAAGGAGGATTTTATTAGACTAAAATCTAAACTTTTTACATACGATTTGTTTTTATCCATGATGGTTCAAAGAAAATAATTCCTTTTTATAGGGTTCATATGTAAATCACTTTTTTCTCTGTGAAAAAGATTTTATAGTAAGTGCTATTGCAGTGCTCTCTCTCTCTCTCTCTCTCTCTCTCTCTCTCTCTCTCTCCCACTCCCTCTCTTGAGACAGTCCCACTATGTAGTCCAAGCTGGCCTTGAATCCACCACAATCCTCTTGCCTCAGCCTGCTGAGGACTGGGATCACATGCCTGGCCCAGTTTTCTATTTTAGGCTAAAGTAAAATTAAATTTTACAGAGCAATTCTGCTCTTAATATACATGTTACACAGCAGGAGGCTTTCTCCTTTACCAAACATAAGCTGTTTTATTTACAGCCCTGTTTTCTACTGTGTATCTCGGGAAAACCTTGGTGCAGAAGGAGGATGCTCTCAGTCCACTCGAGAGAAGACATGTACAACAATTACTTCCTTGCCCTATCAGCATAATGCAGTGGGTGTCTGCAGCCTCGTGCTGACCTACTCTTGGGGTTTCTGTGTTCTATGCTAGTCGCTGAGCAGGAATTGCAGAGCTGTGTTGGTTCACGGTGGTTCTTGGCCTATGTAGAAAAGAGACACTCTCCAAAGCAAACGTTTCTCACACTTGAATGTATAGGTCTTCTGAATCTGGTCTGTGTCTCACCGAGTCAAAGAATGAATTCAAGGACAAAAGAGGTAGACAGGGGGAATGTTTAATCAGAAGAGAGAAAGGGCTCCTGATAGTCAGTAAGGGAGCTGAAAGTTGCTTGCCAAGGGGACTCTTTGTCTAGGAGTTTTTATACCAAAAAATGGACTCACGTCATTCAAACTAAAGTCAATCTAGAGGGGCCTAAGAGGAGTTGAGGAGGGCACAAGCGTATGTTGGCAGGTGTCTCTCACCTCTATCTTATCCAAGTGGTTCATTAAAAGAACAAATTGGGAAGGAAAAAACATTTTCCAAATAGGCAGGAGCAGAAGTTATTAGCAAGTGGGCATGCTAATAAACAAGATATCATTTGCTTATCACATTGCTTGTTACAACCCTGGACTTACTTACTGACTTGGATTTTATTAACTCTTGGCCTCATATTCCTGATTTGTTGATCAAAGACTGGTCATTCTGACTCTCTCTTAGGCCTCATGTCTCTCTAATTGCCTGCTATCTTCTGCTTAACTTGCTACTCTAACAAGTATGGTTTGAAATTAAAAAAAAAAAATTGCATTTGTACTAAATACACACAGACACATTTTCTTATCATTTTGCCCAGATAATAGAGGTCAGCAATGATGTACATAGTTCTTACAGTGTGCTGTGCATCTAGAGATGATAAAGTATACAGGAAGATGAGCATAGGTTACATGCAAATGCTCTGTTTTGGGGACTTAGGCACCCTTGGAGTGTGGTATCTATGTGGAACCCGTCCCCTGCAGATCCCGAGGGATAACTGTACTGCCATTGTCCATGTTTTAAAAATACATTTGGCACAGTTTTGAAAAGATGCACATTATTAAGTCTTAAGTTAACTGAGATTGCTATTAATGATTGCAGGTCACAAATATTCGGACTTTTCTCTAGCCCAGTGGTTCTCACCCCAGCTATACTTCCATATGACAGGGAGTGCTTTGAAAAACTGCCAGTGCCAGCCCTCTCCCCACACACAAGCTGAAACAAAATGAAATTGTCTAGGGAGGGGCACAGCATCCACCAGTATTTCTCAAAAACTCTGCCTGTGATCCTAATGGTCTTGTGCCACCAAGACGGGGCAGAGCTGCAAGCCAGCCCCTCCAACTAGGAAGGCATTCCAGGTATGAGCGTGGGGTAAACACTGCCCACAGCTGTGATCCATTAACTCCATGCATTCTCAAGGAAAGCTCGGTAAAATTATGTGACTCACATAAACATCTCTCCTACTACCTAGTAACTCAAAAGGGTTCTCAGCAGGGGAACCTGACAAAGAGAACCTCCTAGTTGCCTTTGGTCCATTTTAGAAAACTTGAGAAGATCATCAAATTTTGGCACACCAGGGCTGCAGGGAGCACACTTTCTCGAAGAGAGGCTTTGTCCCTTTTCTTTTTTGCAAGGCTCCACTTTAACAAGTAAAATCTTGTAAAGTTGACAGAAGCCAGCAGAGGCAGTAAAAGTTCCTGGAAGTCCAAGAGCCAGCAGAACAAACCCTCTGCAGAAACAAGACTTTCCAGTCTGTCACAGTGGCTAACAAGCCAGACTATCAGGGCTGAAATCTTGGCTATGCTATTTTCTAACTAAATGACCTTGACAATTTACTTTCTGCTTGAGCTTCCTCATTGTTAAGGCTGGTAACAGTGATGATGATTAGATTATGAAAATAAATATGAGACAATGCGTGTAAAGTGTTGCACGTACAACGCTTGGCCTTGGTAACTATCATTGTTATTCATTAACACCATGAGATAAAATGTAGAATATTATTACTATTGCTTTTTCTGGTTTCGCGAGTTCACGCCTATAATCCTAGCTACTGGGAAGGCTGAAGCAGGATGATCACAAGTTTGAGGCCAGCCTGGACAATTTAGCAAGATTCTGTTTCAGTTATAAAAAGAAGAAAAAATACTTGGGGATATAGCTCAGCAATGGAGCATTTACCTACATTTACAAGGCCTGAAGTTCAATCTCCAACACATGAAAAAAAATTTAAAAAGAAAGAGAGATTGTATCTTACCATTGCCTTCAGTAAGACTGTAGGATGTACACTGAGCCAAAATGAAAACTCTAAAGCAGGTTTTTCTTGTAATCCACAAAGGAGCCCCCAAGCTCGAGTTCAAAAAATGAAGCAAAAACATATTTTAAAAAGCAGCGCTGATGTGGGAGAACATGGCAGATAGATAGCAGCAGCTATGGAGGCTCTCTGAGATACCCCGCTTAAAATCCAGGAATGGTACAGGGTGAGAGGTCCTAAGCAAGGGGAGATACACCCTGCTGACCCAGAAATGAACTAAGCTAAGAGAAAACAACTGGAAATCCAATCCTGGTGCTATAACAGGAACAGATAAAATCTCAGCACAGGAAGCTAGAACCCACCCCACTGGAAGCCGCGATTTGAATTTCCTGCTGCTTCTGCTGCGTCCAAATCTGCAGGGCAGGGAGAGAGACGCGCGAAAGCTCTGAGAGCGGGAATCTGCAAACGGAGTTGAGAGCAGGAGTGGCAGGGAGCCCTACATCGACTTGCGGTGAGTGAGCGGAACGGGGACCCTTTCATAGAGTAGGAGGCTCCAGCAAAGGACATACTGGGACCAGGCAGACTTACCGGAACAGGACACTGCAGGGACGTTAGCTGCATATTCCCCTCTCAAGCGGGATTGGTGGGGAGTGCCTGGCCTGCGTGATGCCGCTGACTAAGACTCAGTAGACTAGCCCAAACCAGGTCCCAGCGCATGGAGGCGCACCTTAGCGGGAAGCCTTCGGTAGGTTGACCTGGAGGGGCAGGCCCAGCAGAGGCTGCTGAGGTTTGTGTCTCCCTAGTACACTGCAGTGGGCGGGAACACCTAGCCGGCGTAGTTCAAACAAACTGTAACTGAAAAAGAGAAAAAAATTGGGGCTCCTACATTTACTTGTATGGAAGGAACAAAAAGTATGGGAAGAGGAAGCAACAAGAAAAGGTCCTCAGTCCCCAATCCTGAGAACACTGATCCAGGAAAGGGAAATGCAAAGGAAGACAGAAAACATGCAGTATCAGACACGGCACCAATAGACATAAAGCGATATCTCCAGAGCCTCATAGATGAGCTTAAAAATGAAGCATTTCATGAAATAAAGCAAGATATAAGTAGAATAGTTAGAGAAATGCTAAGCACCGCCCAAGAAAAAACAGATGGTAGAATGGAAGAACAGAAAAAAAGGGGAGAATTGTTTGATGGAGAAAATAGAGAAAACATAGAATACGTGAAGCAGGTTCAAAGAGATTACCAGGAAACTAAAAACTCTATCAAAAGCTGGCATAACAGCTTAAAAGAAACTAAGGATCGATTATCTGAACTGGAGGGCAGATTTGTAATATGAGAGCATGAAATGAAAAACTTCTTAAAAATAACAAGAAAACAAACATCAATAATACAAAGGCTAGAAGATAAGATGATCTATAACTTAAGAATTAAGAACATAAAAGAAGAAGTAGGGACACAAACAAATGGACTACAAAAGCTATTCACAGAAATAATCCAAAAGAATTTCCCTAATTTAGCAAAAGGTAAAGATACTCAGATGTATGAGGCATACAGGACCCCAGCCACCTACAACCCAAACAGAGCTACACCCAGGCACATAATAATCAAAATTCCAGAAATCCAATATAAGAACAGAATACTAAAAGCCCTCAGAGACAAGAAACAGATCACTTACAAATGAATACCCATCAGAATTACAGCAGACTTCTCAGCACAAACCATCAAATCACAAAGAGTGTGGGGGGAAATAATTCAAGCTTTGAAAGATAACAACCTCCAGCCAAGATTGATATATCCTGCACAACTGTCCCTAGAAACTGATGGAAAAACAAGGTGCTTCCAGGATAAAGAGGAACTAGGGGAATTTGCAACCACCAATTCAACTTTACAGAGAATTCTACAGGATATTCTAAAAAAGGAAAATACCAAGACTTCAGAAACAGTGGCAGAGAGGCCACAATGAATGGAGCAGAAAGCGAAATGAAGAAGACAAACTGACAACAAACGACAGAAAAAGAGCTCAAGAGAAATGAGGCAGAAAAGATTGGATGGTAGGAACAGCTATTTTGGAGAAAACAAGACATCATAGTAGCTAGTGCTGATTTAGTATCATCTTGCTTTGAAGTCCCATCAAGCTTTTATTCTTCCGTCTCCATCGGTCTTAACAGGTTGTATCTTATTGGATTTTGTTGTATGTGATAATATAGGCAAAAACTTTTATAGACAGGGAGGTTGTACGGAGACCATTGTTCATTTTCTGATGGTTGGTTCTGAATGCCCTGTGGTACTGTCATTCTCTTGGATGGTTTTACATTGTCTTGATGTGTTTGGTGCTACAGTATACGAAGTTGTACTCAAAGATTTCGGGGGTGGGGGAGACACTATGGTAACTACTTTTATGTCAGGATATCTTGCGGTGAAACACTATTTTGCTTAGATGGTTATGCTTTGACCTGCGCTGGTTTGTTGTTGTGCCTTCTTTTATCTCAATCTCCTTTTTAAAAAATTATTTACTTTTTTATTTTTATCTTTTTAATTAAGGGAAAAATAAAAAAAGCAGGATACATTGTAGTAACCCACTTTGATTTCCTATTAACTTGATTTGAAACCCTGTATAGCCCTCACCATCTTGCTTTGACTGATTTTCCTCTCTTCTGCTTTGCTTGATAGTACCAAGTTCGAAAGTATAGGCAACAACTGTAAAGACAGTAAGATTCATTATGACACCCATTCCGGTTGACTATTATCTTCTTTTAAAGTCCTGTAATGTCTCCAATGTTTTGGTTTTATTCTTTACTGTTTTGTTCAATTTTATTATAACTGATGATATAGGCAATTCTTTTTAAGATAGCAAGAGGCAGTATGGTAACCATTGTTGATCACCTAGTATTTTGTTTTTACATTATCTATTATGTTCATCCTTTTGATTTGACTGACTCTGTTCTGTTATGGCACATTTGGTTTTATTGTCTTCAAAAAAAAGTAATAAGAACTGTGGGAGTAATAAAACCCAAAATGTGTAATTGTCATTGTACAAAAGAAAGTAAAAGAAAGTGCTCTAAAGAATATAACTGCATATATATTTAAGTGTATAAGATAGATAACCATATTACTGAGTTTTGTTGGATCATTGAACAAAACTGTTTCCAGTCTCACTGTTTGAAAGTCCACTTTATATGCTTTAATTTTGTAACTTGAACAACTATTTCTAAGATAACAATATGTAATCTATTAACTAGTGATTTCCTACTGTTTATGTTTTCTGAAATTCTGTATAACTTGTACCCTTTTTCTAATTTTTTTTCTTTTTCTCCTTAAATTAAAAAAAAAAAAAAAAAAAGCAGCGCTGATTTATTTTATCCTGGGCCCAGCAACACAATGTAGTTAGAGATTGCAAAAGCTGTGTATTGCTCTTTTATACTTGCCACCTTTAAGTACATATCACAGTTTACAAAGTAAGGGGGTATGGGCATGGATCAGGAAATCTGTTAACGAGGAAGATCTTTGGTTTTCCTTAGCAGAGGCTAGAGTAGTCTAGCAGTAATTGATCATCTTTGTTAGCTTATTTTAGCACCACATCTGTTATTTGTAGAGGGCAACAATGGTTAACATATCAATTAGGTAAGATTTTACAATTCTTTACAGAGGAGAGCATTGATTAACATATCAATTAGGTCACCCAGAGGGGGAAAGAAGACACATACACAGTAAGGCCACGTTACAGGTATTTTGGTATAATATAAATATAATAAAGCTCTTTTTTCTAGTGTACAACAGTTTTCACTGGGCCCAGGCATAAAGCCTAAACAGCCGTCAGGTGAGGCTGGTTTGTAGCACACTCGATGGAGGGACTTAACACTCAAAATTGATTCTGTTGACAGTGGGGAGCCATTTGGATTTTTTTGAGACAGAGAATATCATGGTCATCTTTCTTTTTTAAAACAGCACTTCACAGAATTCAGATGAGGTTTGAAAACATCTTACCTCTTCTGAGCTGCTAGAAGTTCTCTGCCCTTCTTCTACAGAGGACACCACCACACGATTTGCATTTGCGATTTGTGGTTTTCCTGAAGCAAAGAAGCGGTCTCAAGCCACTAACATTTCCGTTGCTGCCCTGAGAGGATGACAGTTAGACCAAACCTTGCAGCCTTGATGTACATTCTGCCATGGGCCTGGGGTAATTTTACTTCTGACCCATATTCTTTAGCAAATATTTGTATCATCTAAGTCACCTTGGGGGTTTACCTTTCAGTCTCTTGACAAGATCAAAATCAAAGCAAGAGAGCAAGGTAGCTGGGAAGCATCATGTGTCACACTGGAACTGTTAAGCAGGAGTGTTTCTTGCATTTAAGAGAAATCACTAGCCCACTCCCAGGCATTTATGGGTTTAGTTATGATGTGGAATTTCCTAACTTACACTAACTGTGCATTTTGCGCAAATAATGATGCACGTGTTAAAGACAGAATATGTGAAATTAGGTAGCCTGACTCTGGGTTTCTACTTACAGACAAAACACTATTACAGAAGAGAAATGTATTTTTTCCACCTGATAAGTGGGCATTATTTGGGAAGAGGAATTGTCATACTGTAATGCCTAAACCTAATTCTTCCCTTTGAGGACAGTCATTTAACACTTAAATGTTTTCCCCCCAAAATAAGTGGTAATGAAAAGTCCATCATCCAGATGTGCAAAAAGTCCCACAAATGCTAACCAAGTGCTTATTATGGGCTGTGTTTTACCTGCTACATTCTCATCATAACCCCATAACCTCAATCATTTGGTAATATTAGTAACCTCACTTCGCAGATAAGGATACTGTGAGATTAAGTAGCTTGTCAAAGCCACAGGAGACCACAGGGGCAGAGCCAGGATTGAAACACAGAATCCGGAGTCCGTGCAGCTGCAGTACATTGCGGTCACTTCTCTGAATAAGTTGAAAAGCTCATGGGAAGAGAGGCTTGTTTTCTGCACAGGTGCATTTGCTGGAACTCAGAAGGACAATTAAAAGGGGGAGGGGAGGGGAGGAGAGGGGGAAGAGGAAGGGGAAGGGAGGGGGAGGGACGCGGAGGGGGGGGAGGGGAGGAGAGGGGAGAGGAGGGGAGGGGGAGGAGCAGGGGAGGGGAGGGAGGGGAAGAGGAAGGGGAAGGAGGGGAAGGGGAGGGGAGGGACAGGGGAGGGAGGGGGAGGGAAGGGAGATGACTTGCTGCTGAGGTTGATAAGGTCCTGGGACAGTGGAGTTGGAAACGGGGTTCAGGTTAGAGTTAGAGTTAAAGTGTGGGAACTCCTGCGGGAAGGGAGAGCAGAGCCATTCTAGTTAGAGGAAACAACAGAAGCAGGTGCATAAAGGGTGACGTTAGGCTTATTTGCAAGAAATGTAGAGATATGGGTGGAATCAGACCACAGAAGATTAGAGAAGGGTAAGCATCTGAACCAGCTGAGGGTGGAAGAAAAGGCAGAGGTGGGGGGGAACCCGTGAAATATGGCTCAGGAAAAAGGCTGAGAATTTAGTTGCTGCTATGAATTAGACTTCATTTTGTTTCTAGTTTCTAGCCCTATTTCTGGTACACAGTAGGCTCTAAAATCATGTTTGTTGACTGAAGGAGAAAACTGTCAGAACCAAAAACGGATGAGGAAGTAGACTGTTTACAAATAATTCAACAAACAGCCTAAAAGAAACTTGAGGGTTTTTACATGAATGAAAACATGAACTCAGATGGAGAGGTCAAGAGAAGAAACTGATTTGGAGGCTACTGCAACACACAGAGCCCGAGACGAGCCAGGGGTTTCACCTGTTACCAACTTCTAGCTGACTGTATAAAGAAAGACATTGCAGTCACTGGGCAGTTCCATTTCTCCCAGCAGGTGAGAGGGCTCCATCTGTCCCCAGCTTCCTGCATTCTGACTCTTGTCTTCATTTCTTTAACCTCCACCATCCTCCACTGGGAATTTCAAGAGCTGAGCTGGCCGCATCACTGCCCAGCCCAGGTTCAGGCGGGGCCCCTCTTACTCCACTGCCCAACTGGCCTCAGAACTCTCTCTGCTTCCCATCCTGCCGTGGGCCTCGCTGTTGAGTCAGCCACTGCCTCTGTCAGCAGCTAAGAGGCAACCCAGCACCAAAGCCCTGCTGCACACAGAAGATGGTGATGATGCACAAGTCTAATTTCCCTTTCGAGAACATTTTCATTTGAATCCTAGCAACATGTTGATTAGTAAAATTT